TCTGAACCTTGTCTAAAGAGATTTTATACAACTTTCGGCATATTAATAATCATACATGATTTTAAAAAAATCACAGCAGTTAGACATGCTTTCTCTCTGGAAGTTGCAGCCTCCAATTGGCTAAAGCCTTCCGAAAACAAGTACTTATGCAAGAGAAATGTGATTACTTAACAAGGACCTTTTATAACAGCCAGAGCCACACATGCTCCCAACTTGCTGACAGACAAAAGCTAAGGGGAGTGTGCTCACCAGCTCTTGCCTGCTTCATCCTTCCCTATCTCTGCCATAAGGAAACCGAGCACTCCAGTGCAAAATATTGCATCTCAAAAATCACAACTCAGGCAGAACTCCTGTGTGGGAGAGGCTGCTCCAAAGCCATCCTGGTTTGGGGAAGCTGGACGTGTAACACATAGCAAGGTCTGGATCCTGTGAGCAACTACGGATCTTCCTACAGCCCCAGAGGGAGCCGAGAGCTGAGCTCCTCTCAGGACTTGGCACTCAGGGCATTTTGTAGCATTAAACATTGTATAGATATGAGTCACTTCTCTTGCACAGCAAGCACATGTGTAGTAATGCTGTATTTTTATACTTTACATCTATTCCTTGCAGCACATACTGTTAAAAAACCCTGAACTTGGCCTCAAAGGGTTGTTCTTTTTGTAATTCCTAGATCAGAAGGACTCTAGAAACCCCAGGGAGAACCTTCCTGATGTCAGAATTAGGAAGGAAGGACAGGTGAGAAGACAACGCCAAACCTGAAGTGCTAAATGGACTCTTACAAGATTTTTTTTTTCCCCCCCTAGAGAGTGGTTTCAAGCATATTGCACAACTAAATTTTTGTTCAGATATAAAAGGCTCCTGTCCACCACTGCAAGCCAGTGCCACAGAAGCAAAGCAAGACACACTAGCTGATCAGTGTCCACCTGCATCTCTGCCTGCTACAGGACTGCAGTCTCACCACATCCACTCCTTTAATTTTGTATTTCTACTTGTTTCCCCTCAAGTTTACTTATAGTGAAAGATACACTGCAGCATCAAAATGTTATTTATCTTGTTCAACTACAGCACTTACCAAGCAGACAGTCTTGCTGCGGACTCCCCGTGTCAAATATAAAGGCAGTGAATAAACTGATACCTATCCTCACCCATTAGAGGCAATATCATGGGGCTGGGGATGAACCCTGCTGGGGCTTCCTTGGCTTTTGGGATAGGGGTGCAAAGCCTACATGAACATGGACTTGCCAGCCATGGGGAAGGGCAGGGCATCCAGCCAGCACTGCTGTTGCCTGCCTTATCAGCATAGGTTTGAGGTCCGCCCTTGGAAGTTATCCTGATGAGGAAACCAGTGGCTTAAGTACAATTATTTCATATCAGCCAGACAATACATTATGCTTTACACACTGATCATAAACAAGAACTGCTCATACATAACCTGAAGAAAACCAAGGCTTGAGCTCAGTGTGGTGGCATCAGCATCTTTCTCTCCCTCTTTTCACTTCATGTTTCCCCCCTAGATGTCTACACAAATCCTAGAAACTGCCTTCATCTGACTTACAAGTTTTAAGCACTGTTTCAGCAAGTATGAGCTGAAACACAAGCAGAATCATCACTTACATTGTATGGGCCTCTTCCTAGTACATTAAAGTCTACAAGGTACTTTTTTCCACAGCTGGACCGTGTCTTATTTATGACCTATTTTTTATATATATATATTTTACTCATCAGATTGTGCTAGGGTGGTATGGACTATGTCAGACATTACATTTTCATCCAGTGAAGAAGCAGTCTGAAATTCTTTACTTACAGATGACCATCTTGCACATGCCTGTTAGGCACAGCTTATCAGCTGGATCCACACTGATCCAAATCCAGGGCAAGTTTTGCCTACAGAAAACATTGGCCAACTGGGAGAATCAATGCACACTTTGCTGTCCCATGTTCTTGCTTGTTATTTCATAATACATCTGCCTTGTTTCAGTGAGACCACTGGACGTGATGCCACCATAGCAGCAGCCCTGCCCTCTTACCACAGTAAGCCAAGTATATGCTTTAGGCTCACATTCTGAGCTTCAAAAGTTATTTTTCTAGATTAAACACAAGGCAACACAAGCCTTAAATAAAATATTCAAAATTATTTTATCATGCAGCTCTACAGAAATCCCCTGAAGTATGTTAGTAAAGTACAGAAGAATGTACTTAGTGCTTATGAATGTGTTAAAACTGAGCAGCTCTTGCTTCACTAGGCTACACAGCCTAGCCAAAAGTGGGAATGCTCAATACAGCTACAGCTCTTAGATACCAGTGTCAAACTTAAAGCAAGCATTTATGGAAAGGCCCTACCTTTCTCGTGTATCTTCACTGAAAGATCTGTTAGACTTGTGTCATCCACATGAGTTTCACTTAATTATCCCTGCTAGCCTGTTGAGGAAAAAAAATTATGTGTCAAATGAGTGACAAATGCAGTTGTATACATTTCAACTAAGAAATGTTTGTATGCACAAAGGAAAGCATGATACAATCCACATTCACAAAAGGACTGTCTTTATTTCAAGATGCATCATCAATAACACTGAATGAGGACACTGGAACCAACTCCAGGACACAGCCCATATTCAGTACTTTAAGACAAACTGCTTTAAATCAAATTAAGTTTGTATTCACCTGGGTCATCATAGAGGAAAACAGTTTACAGCTAATTTATTTTACTATTATGGCAGTTTTCCACTGATAAGCAGAGCTATATACACATTCTCTTCCTGTATTACCAAAAAAATCTTTAAAGAAGGGTCTATCTTTAAACCCTCATTTGTAATCTCCCAGAGAAAAAATAGGAAAAAAGTTGCTTTTCAAAAAGAAGTCTCTCATGCCCATCCCTCCCCATATGGACTCCTCACAGCACCATGGTGTGTTCCACCAGCATCAG